CGCTGCGGCTGGGAACGGACGGGCGCCGCTCGCAAGAAAGCGTGGTCTACTTATTATGCCGGCCTTGAATGCTCGGGGAAAGTCGACAGTTTCTCATAACGCACAAGTTCGAAACGGCCTGGAATTGTTTTTGTGTTTCTCACATTCTTATTGCATTGATGAGACAAAACGATGGAACGAGAATAACAAAGCGATTTTTTTTCCCGCGATAACAAACTGAATGAATGCGGGAAGGAATGCAGCACCTGGTAACTACCATCTCGTTACCTTCCGCGCGCACGTATTTTAAACGATGTTTCCAGCAATACGACGTATATTATTTCTTTCCGGTGTGTTTTGATTTTCAATTAATTGGAAAATTTTGTTTAGCTCTTATCTTTTCTGTATCGATTTCCCTCGAAATAAAAATTGCCTGCTGAAACGGCCTATCCTCTGAAGGAAATGAAAAAGTCTGCAAAGTTTTGCCTCTTACAGCGAACAATCGGAGAAAAAAAGCTATCATCCTAAAAAAATTCTTTGATCATATATAGATATCATACATTCTAGTAGTTTCTTCTGAAAAGTATACATTTTCTTTGAGAATTCAATTATTCGACACGAGTACTAACTGATTTTTTTGATTTTGTGAACAAATTTGAAATCTTATGGTGCACTTTGAGTCTGTTCTGCGGATTCATTTTGTTACTTTTTTAAAACCAACGGTTAGAATTTGCAGATTGAGATTGGAAAGTTTTTCTGTTTAATTTGTAACCGAGAAATTAAGATGCAATTCTTATTTGGGCGACGTGTTGATAAGGTAATTTCGAAGTGAACTTGACGTAAGACAGAATGATTTAGCTGGCTCTGTCAGATAGATCCTAGATTTCGAGTCCGGGCGGTGGCGAATTTTCGACACGAGCTATGTATGCATGCCATGTATACATGCACCACGCCACCACACAAGCCGGGAGTTCACTCGAGAGCGTAGAGGGATAAAATATGCACTACACTGACGGGACTACTGTCTACAGAAATTGACGTGCGCAGAAACATGAAGCTCTGAATAAATTCAACTTAAAGTTCCAATTTGCTTTGGACGATTCAAGTGGTGGCGATGCGCCACCGGCTTGATACAGTTGCCAAATAAATCAAGAGTGAGCTTTGTGATCCAGTGAATAACTTGAAGGTCTTAATCTTACTTCACATTGCGATTACACCGCTACAGATGCATGTTTTCTAATTTTATTTCATCTTCTCTATTCCGACTATATATTACTCTTATCTGTGAGCCAAGGAACAAGGATCTGATTTCAAATCTCTCAATCTGAGCAGTTGACAAATCCAGACGCTGAAATGGAACACGCGTCTATAAAAAAGAGAGTAGCAATAACAGCATTCAATAGACAATCTGACTCGACACTTCTTAACTCGATTCTCGTTAAAATTGTCATACAATCGATTGGGGAGGTTTACACCTGTGGTTAACTCGTATGCGCTCCCGTTAGATTATTTTCTCGTGCGTGGGTGCGCCGACTTTTGCCCGCAGTACCGGCGGAGCGTTAGAAGCGTGGCACATTTGCGCGGGAACGATAATTAACCTCCTTCCCGAGAACTGCCCCCCCCCCCCCTCGTAGCCGTGTGTCAGAGACGAGGGCCGGCACTGCACCAACCGAGAAGCGATTGTCGCGCAGGATTGACGCGCGCCGCTGTGTTTCTAGTGTTAGCGCAGAGCAAGTGGAGCGACGCGACGCGACGCTCTGTACAGCGCTCCAGTCGCCTGTAATCTCCCTCGCGCCGCGCTGTCCCAGGACGGGAGTAAGGGTCGCACATGGCGGGAAGAAGCAGAGCTGAAGATTTTATTAATATTTATTTTTATTCACTGGTCAGCCATAAGATTTTACTCGAGATATCTTCAGGAATTACACAATTTACTTAACATTTATAGAAAAACCATTGATTGTAACCCAACTGGGCTACTGTAGTCGGGTATCTTGTGGTTCGGTTTGATGAAGAGGGTTTATTATTTAATAACATCGTGAGGATATTTTTTCTTAATAAATAATTCTTGAGAAGTCTAAAGTTTTACATGGTGGGAATGGTGGTTGAAAAAGGAACCGAGAGGGGATGTTGAAATAATTTTCAGTGAAGTTGCTTTATTAATAATGTCAAAGATGGAATATCGCCGTGAAGTTCGTAAATTCGAAAAGAAAAAAAGTGTTCGCGATTTTTGCAGATAAATTTATTTTGGAATATTTAAAGACGTTGAGGATTTGTATGTGATGGAGCAATGTTGGGGTGGCGTACGTTTATGTGAATGATAGTATTGTATAAAAGAACAGCGTTTGCGAGTGTGAGAGATGGCAGAAGATTAGACCTTAAACACACAGAACGATCTAAAATCGGATATTAATCGGAGAATTCGAAAATCTAAGTGACTTTAATTTCGTTTTCGATTCTCCCGGCATATGCAGAGCGATAGCGTTTGTCGTATGTGGTAAAGACGCCCTGTCGTATCTAATAAAAGAGAGAGAAACTATGTGATTAATGTTGATGAAAACTTCTGTTCGTGAATTTTGGATCACCAAAAGTCTCTTTAAACAATGGTTCCCTTCACTCTTGGACGTTAGTCTCGTGCTTGTTTTAATCCGAGTGCTGCCTGTTAATGCTGAAGGGCTGGGCTGGCTCCGCGTCCTGTGCGCTCGGTTCCTCGGCGGCGGAGCGGGGCCGGGTGGGGAGGGCGGGGGACGGGGACGCGTCGTGAAGGTAGCCCGCTTTGGGCTCCGCGTATGCGCCTCGGGCCGTCTGGCGCATGCGCCTGCGCCCTGCGCCTGCCTCTGGGGCGCCCGGCTGCGCGCCCAGAGCTCTCACAAGCACGCGCAGGTTTCTCGTCCTTCTGTTGTTCCCGATTGATTTAGTAGGCGGCGGCTGGGTTGTGGGTTTCGAGTGAGTGGGATGTGTTCCACTCCTCTTTTCTCGCCGACGTTGAAGCGACGCTATCGCCTCGCCAATAGGGCCAGACGGGGCGGTTGTCTCCTGCGCTGAGCCTCCGAGTGGGGGGCGGGAGGGAGGAGGGCGGATGGGAGCTTGCCTTCCACTCGCTTCCCGGGTGAGATGACCGTGCTCCGGGCCCTCCGCGGGAACCCACCCTCCCGGATGCGTCAGGGAAGTTGCCTGTCCGTTCCCTCCAACACGCTTGCTCGATGGAGATAGCCTATTTGTTCGTTATGTTCTACCCCCCGGAGCCATGCTCTAACTCGTGAAGGGCCGGCAACGAGGAGTATGAGCGGAGTGGCGCCTTCCCTTCCTCAAGCGGCCATTACCGGCGCTCGCGAGCCCAATGGCGCGGAGAGAGACCTCGGGCCGAGGCGCTGGCCGCGACACGCACGGAGAGATACTGCTGTGCGGCCGAGGCCGCGCCTTGCCTCCCCAAGGCTCCGCGGCACCTGCCCCCGTCCCCGACCCCGCCCCCGCGCGCGGGCCTCCCGGCGGCGGAGGCCGCGGCGCCGATGCCCAGGCACGCGCCCTCGCCGCTTTGTCCCCATCGCCTTCCCCTTCCTCCCTCTGCCCCGCCCCCGCACCGCCTCGCGCGCTTCCGGCCTCCGGAGCAGCCCCTGGCTCGCGCCGGCTTAAAATACCCGCGCCTCCGCTCCAGCGCTGGCTGCGCGCCCGCCGTAGCTGTTGATGCTGCGTTATCGCCCGTAGCGGAAGTGCAGTGCGTCTTCTTCCGGCCCTTATCGCCCTCCCTGCACTTCGCTCCGTTTGCGTCCGTGCGAGCAAGGTCATTTTTGCAGATTAGCTCCAGCTGAGTTTGAATCGCATTAAGACGTACTGAATTAATGTCCGTCTAAGAAGAGAGGTTCTTTTCATAATAAAAATAACCCTAGTGAAACACTGGTTTATTTCTTTTTTTGTTTATAAATGAATTACAGCAACTTCCTCTGAAAATGAGATTTAAATGTAAATCGGTTTTGGAGAAAATATCCCCGTGCTTGTAAGATTATTTGTGGAATTTGTATCGAGTCAAGAGACTGAGGGGCACTGCGGCGCCCCGCACCAGGCCTTGCCTTGCGCAGCTTTGCTTGGCGATGCAACCTATCTCTTTCTCTCTCTCTGTTGCAGGCGACCAGCATCAGCAAGGCCATCAACCAGATCGAGAGCCCAGTCAAGGAGAAGCATGTGCGGAGTATCCTTTGACTCTTCCACGCCTTAAGCGGCCGAGACCCATCTCACCCAAACAATACTATTTTTACTTTTGATGGTCCATTTCAGTTTCACTTATTGGAAATTATTGAATGACATCTGATAAAATTTCAGCATATTAAATTTTTAAAATTTTGCCCTCTTGCCTGCCCCCTCTCCCTCAACCCCCTCTCGCGTGCCGCCGTGCACCCTCGATGTTCCCATCAAGAACGGGATGAGATTTAAGTATATATTGCCTCGCATTAATTGTACCAGGATTAGTAGGTCAATACTGATTATATCATACTAGTCAAGTTACATTTTTTTAATTGTTAGTCAGCTTTTGACGACTTGGGTACTGAAACAAAACAGAGGGGTACACAATTCTAAATTATCAATAACAAAATAAACAAAAGGAATTTGAGATTTGGATTTAAAATTTTGCAGCTTATCGTGCAAGGCGTTTAGAGCCGTGTGTTAGTACACAGAGATGTCGAAAGGTTTACATACTGCTGCTGAAAGAGTGGGACCAGGAGGAGGTCAAGTCAGTTTTTTCTTGGTGGCGAAAGATTCTGCTGGTGGGATAGGGTTGTAACATTGTTACCTGTGGGGGACGGGAAAGGTTGTTTGGCCATACGAAAATATTATGGTGACTTATTCCAGCAGGTAGTGTGTGCATTGATTATTGAAATATCAAAACGTGCATTTATTGTAGCATTTCTTTTAATCTACAATGAGGAAATAAGTTCCGTCTTCCGGATTGAATCGATCGGGAAGTTGTCATTTCCTTCTTGTGGTTGTCATCCTTAACACGTGCAGGCACCATTATCGGCACGTTCCAGGAGAAGGGCGGCGCCACGTTCTGGGCGTGCGCGCTGCGCCTGCCGCTGCAGGAGCACCGTATCGTGGCCTGGAAGTTCTGCCACGTGCTGCACAAGGTGCTGCGCGAGGGCCACCCCCACGTGGTCACGCACTCGCAGCGCCACCGCTCCACCATCGAGGACCTGGGCAAGCTCTGGGTGAGGCCTTCAGCGGACTAACCAAGCACTCACGCACACTTGCTGCATGCAAGGTCACAGATCATACATACTACATTCAAAAACTTCGGCGTATGCGTTTTGACTGTTTGTTCAAGTAGGGTCCGTTTCATGCGATACATTGCCCAGCAAGAGTTTTTAGTGTATTTATGATCTTGGAGAATTATTCTCCTTTGAAAATTGTCTTCACCTTGTTGCTCACAGCCTCCGCGATGTCCTCAACCGAATCGAATATTGAATCGTTCAGGTGCATGCTCATCTCATTTGGTTGAGGGAACATTTTTGAGAGATCGCAAACCTGATGAAAAATGTGAATGATGAGAGTTGAGACTTGAGACTTGAGACTTGCTTTTCAGCCAGAAACAGGCGGGTAATCGTTGCGGAATTAGCCGGGTCTTTGTCTCGCAGATGCACGCTACGTGCTACGACAGCGCATACTTACTCGCATTATGGGTAACGGTTGCGTAACATAATATTGCATTTGTGTCCTTCAGCCATCACTTGAAACAATCGAAACGAAGCGCCAGGCGGTACATGCACATCTGCAATTATTTCCATACTCCGGAACGATACTCTTTTCTTACGTCTACCAAAGAAACATGAATAAATCTCAACTGTTGCAGCACATTACATAGTCAAGTAAGGATACTTTCACACAAGCCTGCCTTAATTACATCGAAGCTAGTTTTGAATTTTTGAACGGCGAATAAATAGAGAAAATTGATCTGGAATAATCCAGAATAATGTATTTTACCCCTTTCGATGCGATAGGCAACCCTCATGGCAGAAAAGTGTATTTGGCTGCCTATCCCTGAGGAACTTGACAAATTATTATTATTATTATTATTATTATTATTATTATTATTATTATTATCATTATCCTCCACATCACGGCTAAGATGTTGTGGGTCTGCCTGAATATAAAATCTACTCCAGGTTGCAACTAGCTACCTAAGGAACAGATCTAGTGACTGGCGGTGCCTCTACTACACTGTGCAAAACGTGGGCTGTTCCAAATAAATTTTCTTGCACTTTCTAGTCTTTTGAATGAGCTGGGAGTTTAGCCAAGATCTTACACAAATTTTGCAAAACAAATCCCAGGCCTCCGATGACTATCGGTATGACCTGTGCTTTTACGGCCCACATTCGGCTGATCTCGATTGCCAAACACTTGTGTTTAAGACGTCTTTCTGCCTCCTTGGCTACGACGTTTTGATTGCCAGGCACAGCAACATCAAGTAGACACGATTTTTTTTATCCAAATCCCAAATAACAATATCCGGTTTGTTTGCTTCTATTGCGCGATCCGTTTAAATTTGTTGGTCGTACAATAGTGTATAGTGTCCAACAGATGTCACCGGTTTTGGTGAGTGTTCGTACCACTTCGGGCATGTGTTAGCAACTTTGAGGGCGGTACGATCTGCCAGTGGTGGTAACTACGCACCTTGTCGTGTCTTTTCAAGTATTTGGTCTTTGCTAGAATTGGACAAGCTGAGACTATATGGTCAATGGTTGCTACTTGTTCCTGGCAGATGCGGCATTGATCATCTCGGGAAATGTTGAGAACCGCTTTATCATAATGTGTTCTGAACGCCTGATCCTGAGCAGCTATGAGAGCTGATCCCGATTCCTGCTTCATTATTCCCCTTTTATGCCACCTAAATGATTGATCTTTATTGACCTACACCGTGTCCATTCTTTGTAGATATTAACCATGGAATGGTTTGTCTCTCCACGATTTGTTTAATATTTTTTCTCTCTCACATCAATAGTATCAGAAGTCCAATGTGTGTGTTATTCTGCGTATCTTGCATAATTTTCTTTGCATAACACTAACAATGCCTCTGTTTCCCATTCTTCGGACAGATTACATGACCTGCCTCAGAGGGTCAACTTGATGATTGACTACATACTTTCTCATCCCGACTATTGCATTGTACCAAGGGGCTTCAATTTGTCTGTGTCTTCTTCCTCCTTCCTTATGTGACATTAAGTCTATGTACTACATCAGATTGAGGGTGGGCGAGATAATGCATTTTTTGCAGTTTTCTGGTTTTCGATCCTTGATCCGAATTTCTTGCTTAGTCCAGTCCGCGGGTCCGAAACTACTGTACTCGGCTACAGGCACCGCCAAACTACCAATTGCCGATTTTTTATTCCTGGGGTTCTGGGCTGACTGCAGGACGAGTTTCACTCTTCTGTAATACCCTCCCCCCCTACAAATTCTGTTTTTCATTGTGTCGTTCGTGATGGTCTCACATTCTTCAGTGCCCATATATTTGTAAGTTTTACCTGGCTCTAGATCTTGAATCACAGTGTGCATATCTATTGCAAATCTCTCTGACGCTGTCACTTTTCCTCTCTTTAAATTAATTTTTGCACATTGGTTAAGACCAAACTTCATGCAGATGTCATTGCTAAAGTCATTCACGACAGACCGCATTTGAAAGAGAATAGCTTCATTCTTGGCAAACATTTTAAGATCATCCATGTAAAACAAATTTGATATTATTCGCGCAAGTTTTCTTGAGATCTCGCTTCGCTAGTTGCGAGAGAAGTAGGGAGTTTGGATTTTTTCATAAAAGGAATTTTACATCACATTTGTTGTTTATTTTTCGAAGCAAAATAGTTTCTATTACACGGGAGCGAACAATTCTGCTTACCAGATTTTGCTTACAACGCTTGTTGCTATCATATTTTCTTAATTGAACTAATGTTGACAAAGGAGTGGGGGTAGGTATTCCGGAGCTCAAGAAAACGTGCGCGTATAATACTGGTCTATCACCATGGAGCTTGTAACCAAAGTCTGCTTGCTACAACTGTCTAGAAGTGCGATCAAACTAATGCAAAACAGAAGAGATAGCAAATCTCCCTGAAAAATACTCTTGTTGATCTGAATATTTCTTATTTCTACTGCTTGCTTTTCATCCATTTTGTTCAACTGACACAGATGGTTCCTCTCTAGGTGTCTGGACATTTTGTCAGCTATGGCTGCAGTTATAACTTTGTACAGTACTGGCAGACAAGTGATTTACCTGTAATTCTCCCGCTTTGGCTAGCAAATACGTAATGCCGCATGAGCGCCATTTCGGGAGTTCCATTGGGTTTTCTAAAATTTTATTAACATCCTTTGCTAGATGAGAATGTATTGTTGTTCATTTCTTAACCCATTAATTTTGGATCGTATTAATCTCAGGGGTTCCAGTTTCCCATGTTCTTAATTGCTTGGAAGAGGTCCTCTTCCGCGAATTCGTGAACATTTTCCACTGTTTTCACAAGTTCATCGGCAGCATCAACTTCAGATTGAGGCCAAGATGCGTCTTTGTTGTAGAATCTCTTTTTCTCCCAGATTTCTGCTCAAAATGCTTCGACGTCATTTTGCAGGAGGGACAGCATTGTCATTCGGTTTTTAAGACAGATTGCGATAAAATCTCTTCGCGTCTGTTTCAAAAAACCGATTCTGCACACGGAAATCTATTTTACGTTTGTAACGTCTAATTCGTTGATTCCATGCTTGGATTTTCTCTTTTAGCTTTTCAGTTACGATGAGCTTCCTTGTCATTTTCAATTTGGTATTTCTGTTCAACATTAAATATTTTTCATTGAATTTTAGAGATGTGCGTTGATTTAGAAGATACCTCAGCTAAGAGTGATATTTCACGCCGTGTCGGCTGTCCGTTTCATAATTATATTCGTCCATGGTGGTGCAGCGCCGTTTGCTCTGTTTTGCTATTGGCCGTCGGTGTTCTTGGCTGGCCTCAAAATTATCTGAGATACCTGATATCCATTTGTGTACACTATGTGATTGATTTCAGTAATATATAAATCTCTACCTGGGGTCTGTGCTACCTCATATAAGTTTGCTTTCTCGATCACTCACTTAGCATTGGCATTTTCATATATTATCTTCAGCAGTGCACGAAATTCCAATGGAAGTTGACAAACATGTTCTATCTCCCGTCGAAGGAGATTTCTCATAATGTCCTTGTCATATGATTCATTGCCAGATGAACGTTCAACCGGAGCATCGTTTTCAAGTTCTACAAGTTCATCATGTGGGTAGTTTCATAGAAGATCATACTTCGCATTTCTCTGAATGAAGTTGTTCTGCTGTGATTTTCTAATGCTGAGTATGTATCGTCATTGACTTGCAAACTTCTTTGAATGTAGGGTAGGTCTCATATCTGCGTGCCACTGTCTCCATTCCTTGAAAACTTCTATTTTCGAGCATAGGTCTCAGGGTCATTGGGGTACTCAAGCTTCACCACCACCGTCAAGGTCATGTACTCCTGAGGTGGAGTTTATTATTATTATTATTATTATTATTATTATTATTATTATTATTATTATTATTATTATTATTAGCCAACTAAGATCCCTTTAAGAGCAAAGGCATCGTGCCAAATACGATGATTTACTGTACAATTTTTTAGAGGTGTTACTTTCCTGTGTATTAACAATTCTACTCTCATGCATGTTTGTGTAACTCATCAACCATTCATGGAGTTAAATGTTGATTTTATTCGACGATTCATTATGAAAAAGACTGTGGATACTTGAATTCTCATAAAATCCAATCCTGCCTTATGGAGGTTCTCTGGAATTGATTATGATTTAAAGGATTACTTACAATTAATAATTTAAAATATTACTAACATTTTTATTGAAGGATAAGGTTTTGCAAAATAAGAGATGTGTGAGCTCTCAAAGACTTTCTAAACATTTCTACCTATTCTTTTATTGCTTACCATTTTTGGTTTGCTACAGTGTCACCTTAGAGAAGGATATGGAAAGCTGATCCAGTTATATTGTCAACTGCTTATCACAAAACTGGATTTCCATCGAAGGAACCCACGTTTCCCTGGTAACCTGCAAGTGTCCAGAGAGGAGCTGGAAAGTATTGGAGAGAACGACATCAACACTTAGTGAGTTATTTGTGAGGTGCATTAAACATTTGTAACGAAATTTACATATGGTTATTTATTAATTTTATTTATTAATAACAAAATTGTTTTCAGCTTTGAGATGTCAGTAGAAATGTTTGATTATATGGATGAAATACTAAACCTCCAGACAGCTAGTAAGTATCAATGATTTTTCTGGATGTATCAGTCATATACAATGAGATATCATCAGTTCCTAGAACCATGAAATTGAATGTATCTCAGATAGATACTATTATTGAACTATTTTATAGTAATACAAAAAAATATTTATGTTTATAATAAAAAAAATAAAGTAATGAATTGTATTGCTTTTCAGTTTTTGGTTCTCTGGACATGTCTAGATCAAATTCAATGATGAGTAGTGGACAATGTCGTTTAGCTCCTTTAATTCCTTGCATTCAAGACTCTTCACAGCTTTATGACTACTGTGTAAAAATTCTCTTCAAACTTCATGCAAGTTAGTATTTTAAAATTCTATTCGATTCCATTTGAAAGTGTGAAAATTTTACAAATTTTTATGTAACATTTATAAAATGTTACATAAGTAAAATTGAATGAACATTCATGAAATCTCAGTGGAGTCCTGATGAAGTGCTTTGTGTGAATAGGTCTTCCTCCTGACACTCTTGCTGGTCACCGTGAGCGGTTTTTAAAGCAGTTTAGAGAATTACGTCAATTCTACTTGACAGCCAGCACTCTGCAGTACTTCAAGACTCTCATTCACATTCCCCCACTACCTGAGGTGAGACAAGTCTCTGCGCAAGTTGATAAAAAATATAACACTGAAACATTAATACTACAGAACCTCTGTTATTATCTCGGATAATAACAGGGACCTGGTCCATGGAAAACCTAAAATCATTGCCTTTTATTGTTTTAGAATTGGTTCTCATTTGCTGTTATCAATTAAAAATTAATTTATGAAATTAATTCAATGCTTATGAAAGTGCAGGCTAGAGTCATTGACAGGGGCTTTTATCTTTTCTTTGATTTATTCATTTAATCATTTCCATTATGAAACTGACCCCAGTTATTGAGATGACGGGTTCATTGATCCAAAAGTAATGGAGTTCCACTGTTTGAGTTTAAACAAAAAAAAACTTCTATCTGTATAACTAGATAAATTTGATGTAAAATTTCAGTATGATTCTTTTATTAAACCCTCCTGATTACATGAAATTAATGATATTCCTTTGTTTTGGGGAGGCAGAACCCTCCCAATTTTCTAGTGCAAGCTGAACTCCGGAGCTATGTGCCACCAGTGGTGGTACTGCCACCGGAGGAGACCACTCCCTCAGAACACGACTCTGCAGATGGCAACCTTATAGACACCTCTGACACTGGTTCCACTGGAGATCTGGTGGATTTGAACCATCACAATGGGTCTGTTTCTCCAGATATTGTTGCTGAGAGGTAAGGGATTAAACTCCCACCTATTATTTTTTTATGTAGACATAAAGCCAGATATGAATGCAAATTAATTCTGCAGTACATGCAACCCATTTTATAACGCAAATGATAATGTGAACTTGAAACCCAAAATGTATATTTGAATATGATGTGAAAGTAATTAAACTTCAAAGTATGGCATTTAAATCTACTTGTACTGTCTCCCTGATGAAGATTGGGAGATATTTATTAACATTAGAAATATTTTATTTTTCCATTGATATTCATTATGAGTCCTTCAGTGATTGTGGCAATAGTAAATGACTTTGATAATAATGTATCATCTTTTGGATCCTTTGCTCAGCAAACCTCCCTTTTCCCCATAACTCTAAAATCATAGCTCAACCTACTTTAAAACTATTTGACAACAATGTGCTTGCTATGAAAAGTTTAGAAGCAGGCTGCATTTTTATAGTATCATGTTATCTGAAGCTACTAATATCCCTATTACTAAACTCTGTAGAGGTTACTCACCAGCAAAAAGAAATGGCTGGGTACATGTACAGCCCATGCAAGTACTCAAGTTAATCTTCCTATTATTCAAAAGAATTTTGTACAATACATTTTGAATTATCATTAAATATCCCAAGTTTGTATGGTTGCCTCTACTGAAGAGCTTTCTTTCAACAGTGATGTATGAATTTTATAGGAAGTTCTTTAATTCGGTATACATGTTGAGTTTCTGAATTATTATTTATTATTCCTAGGGACAATCTTTTGCAAGCAGTTTCACGATTAAAAATGGACTACCAACAGAGATTTCAAGACTATCAACATCAAGTTCAAACACTCAGAGAAACCATAGTAGAATTGGAGACAGATTTGGCCAAAAAGGTTTGATAACAGTATTTTTTATTTTTTAAATAACTTTGTAAGCATCCTGTTAATACTGTTACCATTCTTGATGTTCTTGCAGGACAGTGAGCTATTGCAGGAGAGACAGTTAAAGGATGACCTCCTCCAGCAGACTGAAGAAATGTCGAAGTATCATGAAACGGAAAGTATGTTCGTGCAAAAAGCTTTGAGAATGCAGAGTCATTTGAAATTAATTTGCAATTAATATTGCATTTATTTACTTAATTCACAGAAAAAGCGAAAACCATAGAGGAGAAATTTCAGAAACTGAAAGATGTGTATACAAAGCTGAGAGAGGAACATATCCAATTGATCCGACAGGTTTGTGTTCGTTTTATTATTCGGTTTGTAATTGCATTTATTTAATTCATTTTTATACATGAGTTTATTTATCCTGGCATGGGAATGTGGTTTTTAAGTGATTGTTATGTTCCAGTGATCTGAGAAGTGGGTTCTTTTGTTCTGACTTGCTCTGTGAGAACCCTGGACATGATTATGAACTACTTGTAGATGGTTTGCTTGAGACAGCCTGTGCTAATTTTGCATGGACATTCATTTCATAATGAATCATTCATATCAAAGCAGGACAATTTGACATGACTTTCATATCCAACTTTATATTGAAATACAGTGACCTATGACTTAAACATGTTAGAGTAGTAATAAGATGTAATTGACATAGTTGATCTTTCAATGGACTTTCATTCATTACAACATTTAAACAATCCTTCCATTCTGTGCATTTTTACTCCAGCTGGACACAATTCTCTCATTTTCAGAAAGCTGCATTGGAGAAGGAACTTAGACTTTGTGACAAAATGACAACATTTGCTAAGGCAGCTAACAATCTGATTGTATCTATTGTAAGGAATATCATTATTTTATGTCCTTATTCTTTTCAGCACAAGGTGATGGCTGTTCTTTCGGTGGAGGGCTAGCAGCTCTTCCACAATAAGACTTGTTCTTGTGTGAGCATGGCCATTTTGAAGTATTTTGGGAAGGCATTGTTCTTCAGTGTTAGATTGTTCTTTTATCATAGACATGAGAAAATCTTTCATTCTGAAACAAATTTCACAATATAGTATTTGTTACCAGTTGGAATGAAGATTGGTTCACGCATGCATAGGCTTGCAAGAAGGGTTCTTGGCCTACCAGCAGTCTCTCTCCATTGGCCTTCTGTTTAGATGGTCAAGTCATTGGTATCTGTCTGATACACTCAGCTTATGTTTCTATTATTCCTCCATTGAGAGGGGGCGAAGCCTGTGCAATTTTGATGGTTTCATTGATAAGTTGATTGTAGTGGGGAGAAAACTCTTGATCTGCTGTTTGGGGAGGTTCTCTCTTGCCACAAAGCGTGAATACTGACACATTTATCCATCTTGTTTATCTATCTGTTGTACATAAAACATTTTCACAAATCATCCTATTTTCTTGATCTGATGCTGGGATCAAAATGATATGATTTTGAATTGGCTTTTTAATTTTTTTCTTTCTTGCACTGTCCCTGTTGTAAATTAGCATCATTGTAGTAAGTCTCCATTAACTTGAACATGACAGAGCAACCATAGCCTTGCAGAATTCTTATTCAACTAACTTCTTTTTAGAAAGCAGATGTTGATAAGCAACTCATCAGTGCAAAAACAGCCAGTGAAACTGCTGCTCGTTCTCGTGCAGAAGCAGAAGCAAAGCTTCAGGAAATGGCCTATGAAAAGCAAAGAACAGAGGTTATGCTTCAGCAGTCATCAGTAGATACGGAGGCTGAACTGTCAACACTGCGTCAGGCTAAGGAAGAAGCAAAGAATGAAAATCAGGTGAGGAAATAACAAAAGCACTAAACATTAATTGCTTGGTAAATAAAAAAAATATAATTGATCTTGTGACAGTTTCTTATTACTAGTATTTTCATAAAAAAATTTACAAATTGCATAGGCAAATGTGAATTGAATGCAAGTTTTTGCTATGTTGAGGAATTGTCTATTGCATAGGTCTTAGTATGTAAATTGAGTTTGCGTTAAGGTTTCTGCAAAGATTGAGGTTTAACGTGTTGTAATGATTATCAGAAGTATTATGAGAATTGTGAGAGTTACTGCACCTTTAGAAGAATTCAGATTGTTGTTTTATTTTAAAGGTACTGACTTCAAAAGTCGACTGGGTGCTAAATGAAAAGAGCATTTTAGAAGGAGAGTTGCAGGACTTGTTGGCACAAAAAGAAGACCTTGATGTTCGGCTGCAGGAAATGGACCAACAGTTTAACATTATGGAAGCACAACTGCGAGCCCAAGCACAAGAGTACCTTCAGCGTTTGTTGGGTATGCATGAATACTCTTCCAATGGAATGCTGTGATCTTCATTAGTGCATTCGTGCTTTGTGTGGTGGAAAGGGAAGAGCAAATAATTTGATTGAATTGTGAATATTTTTCTGAGGAAAAATTGTGCAAGAGACATTCCTTTCAAATCAAAATCAAGACAGTTTTGCTTGTATTCGGTATCTCTTGGGTGATGCACTGAGAAATTTTAAATATGAATCAGAATTTAAAATATTATCAGAAATTTAACATTTTATAGAAATAAAATGTTTTATTATACAAGGCTATCCCCTTCCTCTTTTTGTATGTGTAACTGTAATAACTGTGAAGAGTTCAATCCAGTGGACTCTCCATATGTTCAGAACACACTCTTTCAATACTTATCAAGTTTTTAAAGAAACTTTAAATTTTCAGTTGCGTGTGTGACTCAAGCAGAAGCCATTGTTCAAAAGTCTGTTCATGAAGTAGATAATCCTGCTCTTTCAGCAGTAGTATGCACACCAGGTGAGCAAAGATAATTTTGTTCTTAGTTTCTAATGACCATTTGCAAATACAAGTTATTTCAAATGCATTCTTCATTGTGCACTTTATATTTTTATAAATTGGAATTCATTCTTTGTCTATATATTATTCACATTATTCTTCTTCAATTATATATAATGTGTATAAAATATTATAATATATAAAATTATAGATAAAGAATATAAAGTATACTTGTCCTGTCACTTGAATGTGTCTTTTTGCAGATTATTTCCAATCTTTGACTGAGCCTGTTCTAAAGTCTTTGGAGAGCTTTAATACATCCTTTAGTAGTCTTGCTGAAAATGACAATGAAATTGAGAGAATTGAAGAAGTTCTGAAGAATATAATAATCGTTGCCCATCTGCTGGCCAATTTTCTCATTCAAGGAAAAACAACATCGAATACTTCACCTGATATTGAATTTGGAGATAGTAAGTGGTTTCTTGGCTGTTTTGTAATGTGTGGAATTTATTGTGTTTTTTATAAAATAAAGTAATACATTTTGAGAATATCCAAAATTGAACTGATATTTTATTGGACAATCCAGTGAGCTAGTCACAAATGCCTATATTGTTTGCCTTTCTTTCAGGATTATCAGAATCTTGCAAGAAAGTGGGAACAGAAGCTTTAACTCTGTTAGAATGCGTCAGGGACTCAACCAGGAAGCAAGAAGTCACAAGTCGCATTCTAACAGTCAGAAATCAAGTTAATGAAGTCTCTGAAATGGTGTCAAAACTCACTTCTCAATTAAAAGGAAACTCTGCTGAGATGATTGAAGATATGTTGGAAGATGAATTGTCTCGCATGGACAAAGCCATTGAGGAAGCCGCCAAACGCATAGAGGTAACCTTTTTGAAATTCTTGTGAAATTAATTTGGAAAAACAAAAGTAGAATGTGAAGTATTTGAAACTTTTGGATTTGAGTAATCGAGTGCATATTAGTTTGAGTTTATAATAATAATAATAATGATGATGATGATGATGATGATGATGATGATGATGGAATATTATAAAACTTCAGAGGTAGAAATTGGCTGATATCTGTTTTTGGTGTACATTTTTAGTTCCAATGTTTTAATGCAATTAACACATTTACCTGAATGTAAGATAATTTTCCTAAATATCTCAGTCTAAAAATGCAGGGTTGTCTTATATTTGCAGATTAAACCTAGTTAATTAGGGTTTAAGTAAAGATAGAATTTCAAATGACTGGCATTGTATCAAATGAATTGTTACTTGAAAATGAATGGTGAGATTTTGTTACATGCTGTGCAGGATCTCGTTGTGACACTTGGCGAGGGCAAACCTGCATTTTGAACTCTTAAAGAAACACAGTCCATCATCAATTCTGGGACAGAGAGAAAAACTGGTGGCACAGAAGGGAATGTTCTTAGGGGGTGTCTGATGAAAAACTACAATGATGATGTCTGACGAAAGACACAATGCAAATTCAACGTGTAAAACTTTCTGGCGAGCCTAAAACATAAAATGATGTTGCAGCATTTAAGGAGGACCAAAAAGAAAGAAACATAGATACATGTAATGATGATAATATGAATGGGAAGGTGACAAAAACTATGATGATGATTCTAAAGCAGTGATGTAGGAAGGTGAAAGATATGAAATTTTTTTGAGATACCAAGAAATTTGTTATTGAGGTGCTGTAAAAATCATTTTAACATAATGTTTTAATTTTTTTGATGAGAGAGGATGAAAATTGAAAGTCAAATTTGTGCAAATTTTAATTGTAGAATAGCTATCATTGATCATTGTAAAATAGTTATCATTATCATATTTGCTAGTTGCTTCTATAAGTTAACTAATTTTTATATATTCATGCAAAATTAAGTATGTCTTAGAACAACTATCAAGAAGGTATGTTTTTTCCCCGTGAGATTTGTAAGCGGATTATAATTGCTAACAGCTATCTGATGCTAAGCAAGTGTCATATTCTTGGTGCGAGTCAAGTCAGTGTATCTTATGACATTTTTATGCTTCTTTGGTATGAAGTACATACATTCTTAAGTATTTATTGCATACTTTAATCAGTCAAATGATGCTGAAGCCACAGTAGGGAGTCTTAATAACATGATTTTATTTAATCATTTTGCTTTGCTAGCTGTAAATGATTTTGTTCTTAGTATAAAATAATAAAATTTTTATTTAAAACTGATCCTGTTGTTTGTCTGTGTAGGAAATGTTGAGCAAGTCTCGAGCAGCAGACTCTGGCTTGAAGCTGGAAGTGAATGAGAAGATCTTGGATTCCTGCACAAATTTGATGCAAGCTATTAGAATATTGGTGCAGAAGTCAAGGTTGCTCCAGGCCGAAATTGTTGGCCAAGGAAAGGTAGTACACCATTGTACATACCTCTAGTCTCTACCCATAATTATTGATATCAATTAAAAAATAAAGTATTATGATTTATTCTTGTTTTTGTGTTTTTAGGGAACTGCTTCTGCAAAGGAGTTCTACAAACGCAACCATCAGTGGACTGAAGGTCTGATATCGGCAGCTAAAGCTGTTGGTGTTGGAGCGAAGTTCTTATTGTGAGTTGTATTAATTTTTTCGATTTCTTTTTGTGCTTTGCCATTTTATTATAGTTTACAAATTGTCATCTTGTGATAATATTATGACTTTTCTCTTTTGACATCTGCTAGAGAAATTCTAAAGCTTTATTTTTGGCTTTTATAGGACAGCTGCTGACAAGGTGGTAAGTGGCCAAGGAAAATTCGAACAGTTGGTTGTGGCTTCTCAAGAAATAGCTGCCAGTACAGCTCAGCTTGTTGTGGCCAGTCGAGTAAAAGCAGATCGACACAGCAAGAACTTGGGAGAACTGGGAGCTGCTTCAAAGGGAGTCACCCAAGCAACAGGTCAAGTTGTTGCTACAGCAAAAGATTGCTCACAGATGGTGGAAGAAAATGGTGAGTGTCAGAGCCAAATAAAGTAGGATAGAAATGGTATTTCTTAACCCATAAATCCCGGATTGTTTTATCCTATTAAAAATGTTGAAATTATTATATATTTGGAATGAATAGATGTTTTCAGCTGAGTGAATGGTAAATAGAAAACTATCATTTAGCCTATGATTGAGAACATATACACATCAGTAATCACTGCATCACTTCTTGAATCAATCTGCCAACACTTGAATGCTTTCTAGTTTAGATGTTATCAAAATCGTGAAGCACAGGAATAAAGTATTCATTGAAATACACGTTTTATTTCTTTCTCTTCTTTTTCTTCATCCACTTCCTATTATTCTTCAAAAAATAATACATGAAATTTGATGTGTATATACATTAATACCAATCGTTATAGAATATCCTGAAGTACGTTCCTTGATCGCTATAAACATTGTAATTAGATAATCATTGTTAAGGACCAAATGAATACTTTATACTAATAGGCCAAAAGTGTGCAAGTGAAATTTCCATCTCATTTATAATATGACCTATGAATTTTTAACTCTTAATGTATGAAGTAGATATAAATATTTTCCTTTCATTAATGATAGCATCCCAGAGACAGTCACAGAGGTACAACCTTTTTTCTCTCAGAACATTTTTATTTATATTATTTCATATTCTCTTCTTCACAAATTCTGTTTTTTCACAAACTTTTAAGATGATTCATTTTTTTAAATAAGGCTGTAGAGAGCAGTGTAAAACAAAAGATTTGCTCTGTGTTGCAGAGGACCTGGATGTGTCAGGACTGTCACTGCACCAGGCTAAGCGCTTGGAGATGGAGTCACAAGTCCGTGTTCTTGAGTTGGAACAAGCTCTGCAGCAAGAGCGATTGCGATTGGCTGCCCTGCGCAAACAGCACTATCAGCTGGCTGGAGAAGTCGAGGGATGGGATGCAGAGGTGAGCAGCAGGCCATGAGCAAATAGTCATGAGACTTTTGAGAGACGCGTGTTTCATTTGCAATCAACTACACCAATGGGGGTTTCGAGGTTGTAATACGGAGGCAGCTTTATCAGCAGGAATGAGAACTTTCAAAAGACTTCTACAAGCAAGACAATAGATCTGACCAGTGAGGGTGATGAAAGTGGCTGGAAGGAGGACAAAGGTGCAATGCAGCACCTCAGCTGTAAATGACTTGGACACGTGAAATGATGACTAATGATTATTGACAAAAGATACCATAATGACTGGTGTTACAAATTTCTACACTACTCTCGCACGGTCTTACTAAACTTACATGACTCTGCAAGTTTACTTCAACTTGCTTTCAAAGTGAAGTAGTTCTATCTACTAATTTTTAAGTTCATCTGACTTTTATTATTCATCAATTGTGTTTTTGCATTTACTTTTGTTTCCTTATGTGTTTTTATATGAAGAGATACATATTTTCCACTTAAATGTTTTTGTACGTTTTGTAAATATTGTTGTTTTCATTAGTGCTCTCTTGTGTTATGGCGTTTGTTGTTGTTATTATTATTATTATTATTATTTATTTTTTTAAATCGGTTTCAGAAATAAATCATTGCAGCAATGTATGGAATGATTAATAATTTTGATTGGAAACTTATTAAAGCAATTGATTTGATTGTTTTATTAATGTTGTTGTTTAAGTATTGACTAGGTTTATTCTGAGATAGATGGTAAGCACAGAGGTGAATAGAATCTCTTTGTAGATTAGGGATTGATTTCTCCATTTTCTGGTATAGGTACTAATATTAATAGATTAATTATGTGGATAGTTTTTTTAAGTTATCATTCTACTCTTGAATGCTCTGTAAACATAATTTTCTTTTCTTGTGTTTTCATTTTTAGGCAATTCAGCAGAATGTCTAGCATCTCACTATCCAGCAAGCAACAAAATGATACCAAATGAACTTGCCAGATGTGTTGTTTAACCAAGCAGTGAAATGCTGTTTGCTTGAACAAATGATACCATGTTTTCAGTACAATTGTAAATCTTTTCTGTTAATTTTAGTTTTGTTCACTGGATTAATTTGTTTTTAAATATTGTACACATGCTCCCCAGTATTATTGTAGTTGAACAGTGCAGTTTGGGATTTTAACAAACTGAACATTCTCATCTTATTTTAAATGCATTAATCTTAATTCATACATCTCATATGTGTTACTTCTAACAAGGTTGTGTCTTGCGGGACCTCTCAGGGATTGGAAGGAGTATAGAATACAGATGTAAATTTGCAGTTGCAATGAAAACCAGAAGCTCATGCAGGCCCTTGATATTAGTTTGCATTGCTGGGGGAGCTTACTGCAAACACAGGTTAGATTTTTCTGTATAAAGTTCCTTTCAGTAACTTCATTAAGTGTAAGTAGGTAATTGAACACACACAATGAGAAAAGAGAGAAGCTGCTGTGAAACAGTAGCAGTCTCAAAGGAGCAAAACATGGTGAATGAAATCCTTTCTCTATGTTACTGTCTCATCCGTCTTGTAGCAGTGCTCAGTGCTGGCCTCATGGGTGCTGTGCTTGTTGAGATAGAAATAAAAAGAAATTAGAATGGCATCCTGGCATGTAAAACTGATATTTTGTTGATATTACACTTGGTAGCTAAAGCCAGTGATGAACCGGAGCTTTATTATTTGTTTTAAATGGACATAGGTATGTGGTAATGCTAGCTCTCGAGTGAAGTCTGACATTGTTGTACCTTACTCTGTGGGAGACTAAGTATTCATTTGTAGGTGGTGAGGAACCACTCTAAAACCTTTGGAAAGACTGGTGGAGCTTGGGCAGGAAGCAGTCACTGCTGGCTCAGAAAACGTATTTGCTCAGATGAGTTGGCTGTTTATGAGTAAGTTAGAGATGAAATCATATTTTGAGTATGTTATCCATTTACAGTATGCTAAACTTCTAAGAAGTGAAGATGATATCTGAAAGTGTGGTGGTAGAAGAAGAAATTTATCTTTTTCATGTACAACCCTGTTAGTTTTCTGATCAAACTGGAAAGTGTCAGACAATTTTTTTTTTTTCATAGAAAGTAGTCTGTATTTCAGCATGTCATTGCAGTGATGTTAATGCTGAATGTGCTGTAATTATTCAGAAATTTGCATTTTGTGTGTTCACTGTCATATTGGTGTATCTATGTAACGTGTGTATGAATAATATGTTGACATCATACTGATGTCTTTATGGATGGTTATTAGATGGAATTATTCTTAATCTAAAATTAATACATGTTAACATCTAGTGAAATGCATCAGTAATTGAACACTGACATAATTTGTGAATTTAATATTTGTCTTTATCAAATCTGAAATAATTTTATTTATGGTAACTACAATTCAGATTTGACTGTATTTATATGTAGCCTTAATTTTGTAAAATATAATTATTATAATAGTATAATAATTTTTACTGTCATGATATTGAAAATTATTTCTCTTGTAACGTATATTTATAAAACTTTTGATCTAAAATGTGTGATTTAATTATTTCCTTTAATATCCTTTGCCATATTTCTTGACCTAAAATACTGTTAAGGATTCAATATAATGAAATGAAAAATTTATGAATCTACAGCAGGTTATCTTCAAAAAATATTGCTGAGAATAAAAATCGTGAATGTAAAAAGACAAAGATACTAAATTAAGTAGTGGATTTTCATGGCTGATCTTGTGATGCTTTTTTATGATCTAGACCATTCCACATCGAAAATTGGTGCTATTAGGTGATGGATCACCTAAACATTAAATGTACATTAAATTCGAGATAATGAGATTTGATGGTAGGCTCTTCTAAAGACTCCTTAACAGATTTCCAATTTAGTCAAGTCACTGATGGTTGGCTGTCAAGGTGTAATGATAACCATAAATAAATAAAGCATTTAAAGTTTGCCTGTACTCTTAAAGGGCAATAGCAAACCATTCATGTATTAATCTCAGGAGGTTGCAGTGCCCCCGTCCAAAGATAATTGTGCGGATTTATTAGTATAAGATATTAGACTTCTTTTTACTGTAGTAAAACATTTAAAAAATGGCACAATATGGTTTTGTAAAAAATAAATGTATTGAAAGATGGATCCTCCTAAACAGCTCAATCAAATTTAATGATTTTTAATTGATGTCTATTCAGTGTTGAGTTAAATATGTCTATATTGTGGATATTAATATTATTTTTGTACTGAAACACATCTTGTATTTTTTTATGAGAAGAGGAAAAAAAATGTAGCTTTTAATGTTTTGATTTATTTGGGAGGAAAATATGTGAGGAATAGGCAATATGTGGCAAAGGTTTTTCGAGGTTTTTTATTGTTTTGTTGTATGTATTACCTTTGTATGAACTAATGTTTTTACTTGTAAGCATAGCAGGTAGTTGTGTGGAGAGCAAATTGCAAGACATTTTTGAAAAATGTATTATTTAACTATAAATGACTAACTTTCAAGAGATGTAAGCATAATTAGAAAGGTATAACATAAATTTTATTTAAACCATAAATAAAAAATAAACAAGACAGAAAATAACACAATTATCTTCTACCAAATAGATTGGGGGAGGGGTGAAATTATATTTTAAAGGCCAGAAAATTTGTATTTACCCACAAGTGCAAACTCCATCAAAGGACCTCTGTATGAATAACATAATTTGAACGAACATAAAACAGAGTTAAGACACAGGATAAATTATGATAGACAATAAATAATGTGAAAACACTTTTTTTTTATAAAATGAATTTAATAGCCTAAGAAATGCATTATAAATCGTGAAACTATCTACAATACACTTTTCACTCATTCAAATTATCTTTTATATTCTGCACTATGTAATCAACTATCTAAGCTTGGAATGAACAATCCTTCGTCTAGGCTTCTTGATGATCTTGCAGTTGGATATTTCTCATGAGAGAATTTAGTTTAAGACTGAAGAAACAGTTAAGATTACATAAAAAACAACAAAAACACACAGACAAAATCAAATTTGTGCTCTTACAAAATCTTGCATACACCAGGTACATAATTACACAATCTAAATGTATTTTCATAAAATTTCTCAAACTACATAAAAATTGCACTGACATAGTCTCCTCTCATAGTAAAAAGATTACATATATACAAATCACTGATGAGCTCTTGCAGCATAAATAGTTGCGAACATGCTTTCTCTTTTTTCTGGAGAAGTAACATTTAAATGCTACAGAACCAATTGGTTACTATTACTATTTATTTAAAATATAAACTTCAAAAATAGAAAATATTCACAACATTAAGAGAAATTTTACAAAATCCATATTTTGGGCTACATTTATTTGAAATTTTGATGTGAAGACAGTATTATGGAAGCAAAAAAAATTTTGTATTGGACGGAATATTTTATAAGACTCCATACATGGAGTTTCTTGGTAGAAGTTATTCATTTGCATTATATGCAGACTGGCATGAAACTTCTGGATCTCTTTTCTTCATCTTGATCAAATGAGCTGAATAGGCAGTCTTGTTAACCGACAATAGTGAACACATATTGTGATGATTTAGGCAATAGGAACAGAGTGCAATGGGAATCACACCTGTGTCTGGGGCACTCCCCCTTCAGTAATGAGTGTCTGTGGCTTTGGTCCTCTCCGATGGTTTGTTGTGGGCGTCCTCCGTGGCCCTCCAGGGCTGCTGCTAACAAAGCTTGCACTGTCTTTGAGGGAGGAGGCACTGCTGGTTCTTAAAGATGGCACACTAGCACTACGACGTGGGTCGTAGCTGGCTGTTGTCATTGGGGGGGATATTGCTCTCCCTTTAGAATCCTTGCTGTCTTTCATGTCTTTTATTTCCTGCATCTGCAGTTGTGGTTGTGAGAGATTTCTCTTCACTTTTGTTGGGGGAGTGTCGCGGTATTCATACACATTTGTTGCACTATGATTTTCAATACCCTCTGGATCACTGCCTTCATCACGCAGCATGATGTCACTGCTGTAGTACCGGTCAGATTGCCTGAAAAGTTAAAGTTCATCTGAATTTCTCAATAGGACTATACTTCCATAAAAGAAGTATTCACAATCTTTTCTTTATATTTAAACAAAATAAGAATCTTCTGTGCCTAGTGTGAGTTTCTCAATCAGCTGTTACTAGGGAAGAGGCTTTCAGGTCAATTGGTCAGCAGAATAATGGTAAACAGAAAGTGGAGAACAAAAAAGTTCAAACCATAAAGTTTTCTGAATAATGCCCACTAGACAAAATGTCCAATATGCAAGAATGTCTAAATGTTCAATATTTTAAATTCTCACAATCAATATTTCATAAATTTTTTCTTCATCAATAATATCATTAATTACAAGAATATAGTGGTAATAGAACTAATAATATAGTGGAAGGGTTCCATTCTAATTTCAAAGAATGATTTCACAACATCATGTGCACTCTTGGAGATGTTTAGAAAAATTTCCAAATGAACAAAAGAAAAACAGAACAAATACTGATACAAATTAAGAGCAGACAAATAATATACTTCATCCCATTAACAAAGAATAATCTAAGTCGTAATACGATGATTATAAAGACAACAAGAATGTGTAACAGTATGTATGCACCGTGTCATATCACATGAAGCAGAATAATCACCTGATAGTAGAATAAAATTATAAATACATCAATAGATGTTGTATTTTACAGGACATTTAGGTATGTAGACATTTTTGCAATGGACATATAAATAACTTTGACAAACAGTATTGAACATCTAATAAAGTGGACATTTAGACCAATGAACATTTCCAAGAATGGACGATTTTTCAATGATAATTTTACTGCAGATCAATTATCTGATAATTTCAAAGAATTATTAAGTTAACTGTAATAGCAGAGTTAATTCCATATTATTTAAACTTCTTTGTAAATGCTCCTAATCTGGATAAATTCTGTGTAAATTGCAAATATCAAAAATGATTTTACAAGAGAATTTCAAACTTCCAAGGGTACATATCGAATCTGGTTCAATCTCAATGTCTGTTGTCTTCAGTGACATAAGGGTCATATGATTTTACAGCTTTTTAGAAATCCTTCACAATCTAAATACAATTCACCCTCCCAACTGAGAAGATGCACTGAGAGTTCAAGATTATGGATCTCTAAGTCAGCTTCTTCAATCCTATTTCACCATTAATTAATAATCTGATTTTTGAAATTGAAATTTTATCACCTCACCTCATTCTAAACATCTGGGAAATTGTTTATTTTCACTAATTGAATCTTTTCATGGAAAATATTTTTGTAGCCATGGAACAAATAAGAACAGAAATATTCATGTCTTGATGTAGTTATTTTACGGTAAATTAAATATCTGCTGTGTATTTACAAGTTTAAATGAATTCTCTACTGCAATAATGGCAAACACTTAACATAAAATGAATGCATTAAAAAATCACACCAGATTTTCAAAGATTCTCAAATCATTTAACACTTGTAACCCTCCCACATGAATAAAAGTTTCAGTGATGAAATTTTCCTAAAAACAGATTAAGTAATAACTGCATTTTTATTTATAAAGGCATTTTTATTTATTTATTTTCATTCTTTTAAATTTGCATTGAAATAATAAGAACGAGGAAATATTCAACTTTATAACACAATAAGTTAAACTATGTAATTGTGTTTGTACAGTCCATTGTAGGTTTTCAATTAAAAGGGTTGATTTTTCTTTATTAACTCTGTCCAGGAAGTGGTTTATGTACTATCAACAAGCGTATTGCACATTTCTGAGGATAAGCATACTACAATTTGAGAACCTCTATTCTACATCAAAAACAGAATTTAATTAAATTTTGCACTAAGATGAAACTAATATTGAACAAATAAAAAAAAATTAAAAAATCAAATAAAAAGTCACATGTGTTAGTGCTCCAAAGCCTGAAATTAAAGTGCTCCAATTATTTTCAAAAGCAGAAAAGTTTTGAACAGCAAATGAAATCTCAGAGAAGACCTCAGAGCCACACACTTACCATGCAGCAAATACATGCCATGCACAGAACACTCGGCCCACACACCGAAGGCATCAGAGCTGTAAAATCGTGATTGGATGTTCATTACCTGTCTTACCTCTTGGCATTGCGCCATAGTATGCAACAGATGACCACTACCACTATTAACAATAGGCAGGCACCTGACACACTCCAGAAGGCAATTTGCAGTGGAGCTCGAGGTTCCCACCAGAACTGCAAATAAAGCACACAGCTTGATGAGATCCATATAAATGACAAGAAGAACTAATTCTCACCTGCTTCAACATAAAAACATTTGGTTTTCATTTTTCATGCCTTTATTATGCATTATAATTCTTAATATCAGTGCAGCACTTTAAGGAGGTTATAATGGATAATAAATAATAAAGTGACTTTATCGAAACATACAAAATCAATACTGTACCATAGCTTTAGAAACTTTTTAACTAGCTGAAAGAGCACAATTTAATGAAAAACCATTCCAAATTTTTTAAATAAAGAGATCAGGTGACAAATGGAGGTCTCTCCCAACAGAAATAGTTAATACTAGAAATTAGTAGTAAATACTTAAACACAACTTCTTCTTATTACACTTCTCTCATTTATGAATTACGTATCTCTTCTACTTTGTATTCTTAAATTTTCACTTTTCTTATTTTGTATGCTCATAAAAAAATTGTTATTCTCCTTCCTTCTAGTTTTTCCTCTTTCTATGCTAAATAATTAGAAACAAAATTTGCTTTAAAAAAGTAAATATAAAAATTGAAAAATTTGTTGTTGAAAAGTAAATTGTAAGTAATCTAAGAATGTATCTGTAAGAATCTAATTGTAAGTATTCTTGAAGGATTAATATTTGGTTAACAACTTAATTCATATTAACTAATGAAAGTTGTGCCCACCTCTGTGGAGGGGGGATATGTAGGCACCAGACGCCCAATGACACTGGGGAGGTACATTGTCCAGAATGCTGACTCAGTTTGTCTAAAGTTCAACATGACAGAGGAGTTGTACGTTGTATTGATGTTCAAGTACTTCAGTTGACCATTGGTAGCTTTTTCAAAGTACAGACCCAATATTTGAGACATTGTTGGGTTCCTGCATCAGAAAATATTTTTGTTGAACAAAGATTCATAATAAACAGCAATATTTAGCTCTTGTGTAGATACATAGATTTAGTTTTCATATTTTTATCAAATTCATAATCTCATTCTTCAATATAATATTCATGCACAACCAAAATTAATTAAAACTTCAGCTAATAAGGAACATGAAATTGAGCAAAATGTCTTTTTTATTAAAGTTATCAAATACAACAATTTACAATTGGGTTTAGTTTGAATTCATAAAAAAAACCTGTGAAAAGAATGAAAATGAACAGATTTTCAGAGGTCCCAAGAACCCCATCTTTCTTTCGAAGTTATAAATGATGTATGATTGAAATATGTTTAGGACATACCCATTTCTTGCAAAGTCTGAATACGCCTTCATGAAGAAATGACTCATATTTCGATCATTGTCAGTCCACATTTGTCGTTCAAGAGTGGGGCGACGAGGAAAAAACTCTGCAACAAAAAATTTACTTAATAATGAATTGAAAAGCAAATTAAAAGCGTTAAAAAAAATTTCAATTTTAATTAGACAAAATTATTTTTTTGAACTCATTATTAAAGTTCAGACCAAAATATTCAAGTGCAACAGCCAACAAATTCAACAAAGTTAAATTCTCTGATGTTTCTTCTCAGCTTCTACACATTACCAAATGAAATATATTTTATAATGACTTCAGTTCTTTTAATTTAAATTTTAGATTTGATTTGGAAATTTTTCTCTAAAATTGACTGATTATGTTTTAAAGCAGGGGCTATTTTGACACTGTTACTGTTGTTGGAAGTTGAAAATTTTATTTTATTAAAACTGATATTAGACTATAGACTTGTCCAAGCCACACAAAGAATTCACCAGCTCTTCCCAATACAACATCGATTTTCTCCCCTCCAAATTCAAACCAGCACCCAACTTTACAAAGCTATGATCAGACAAATGCTAACATACGCAAGTCCTATATGGGGCTCAGCTGCCAAATCTCACCTCTCTAGACTCCAGGCGCTTCAAAATTGCTTCCTAAGGACCATACCCAAAGATCTCCATCATCATGAGCTCAGCATACCCCCTATTACCACCAACATTAAACAATCCACCCTTATGTTTTACCACAAAATTCCTTCAATCCAATTAGGGAAACAAAAAACAAACTGAACACGCAATTGCGGTAAACTACCAGGACAATTTTTTGACCCACCATAAACCCCTCACATAGATAACTCTTCAAAATAATTCTAAAGCAATAATGGATTCAAAATGCAACTCAACTCTGTATCAAATATATTCAAACCCATTGCAAAAGAAGCAATACACCTAAAAGCAAAAAAAAAATTAAAAAGAAAAAAAAAAGTTTATTTTATTAAAAGTGGTGTAAAAACGTTTATTTTATTTTTATTAATGTGTATTTACATTGTGTTTATAACTGAAAAATTAGTTTTATGTGAGATTAGTAAGTATTCTTGAAGAAACTGTACAGTGTAGATTATGTAAGTTGTTTTCTTTCCATTTCAAATCAAAAAGAACTGTTGCTGAAAATGCTGATGGGAACAGTATTGTTCCAGATTTAGAACTTAGGAAAGATGTCCAGGTATACCACAAAGAAACTCACAAAAACATTCAACCCTTAGAAGCAAAAAAGAAATTAAAAGAATTCATTAGTTCTGTAACAAGAAAGAGGGAAGTGATGTCAAATGATGATCACTCAGCAGAGCAGGAAGTCCTTTCTCCTAATTCCTATGCTTATATTTAGAACTAATAGTGAAAGGATTACCAGCACAAAAAGAAAAACAGTGAAATATTTGTCAGGCCACAAATTCCTTACAATATTTTATTAGCTAGGCTTAAATTTACGAGCCAAAACTAAGATTTTATTAGGTGGGATATTTTACTTAGCAGAATTGTATTAAGAGGGTTTAAAACACATTGTTGTAGGGCAATATTTTTGGGATTGGTCATTTCTATTTTATTAGCTGGAACATTTTAATAAGCAGAATTTTATTAAGTGGGTTCTCAAATAATTTCTACATTCTTGGTCAAATGAGAAGACTGAAATTAAAATTATAATATTGGACATATGAACCATTATCATAATATTTGGTATGTAATAATGTGTTATATCATAACTATTCTTAAGACAAACTCCATTTTATATATATTTTTCATTTTATTGTGTTCACATGAGGTATTTGAAGATCCTAATAACGCAGTTCAAAACATGGAGTGAAGAAAGAAAAAAATTATTTCTTGTATCTTCTCAGAAATGTAATAAATAGTTAAACATGTTTGATTTTTCTCAGTTAAATAATCATTAATTGATAAAGAAAAACAAATCGTTTTTATCCAGTAAATGCAATGTAAAAGTAAATGATCAAGAAAATTTTATGATTTTCAGGTGAACATTAATTCTGAGAATTTCCCATGAATCCCGGACTTTTAACCACCTTGAGAACAAATGCCAAATATATTGGTACACTGAAATTAAGTTTTAATTTCAAAATTAAAATATATGGTATATTAGTGTATATTTACAGATCGTGTAAAATTAGGGTTAGTTAAATGATTAGAATTTTCCCAACATTTTCTCTCTCATACTATTGGCATAGTTAATTAATAAAATACAAACATCATAGTGTAATAAAAAGAAGATTAAATTCAAATCTGGCTCTTTTCCATTCTTTAATTTTCCATTCCCATTTCCCATTTCAGATAATGGTAAGTTGTTAATTTTCTTCTGATATAAAGCTACAAAATACTTAATAAGAAATTACAAATTAACTCCTCTTCTTTCATATTCATCATTCATCGTTAGGATGATTAGTAAACTCAAGAAATTATAACTATGAATCCACAATGTTACTCTATCCTACTAACAAAAATTGGTCTGCAATATTCACTGCAGAAATATAATGGCCAGTTCTTAAAAAATGCTCAATATGTATTGCATTTTGCAACCTCTGCATGTCAATGAAGGCTGGAAACTCACTAAGTCAGAAAGGGAAGGGTTTCTGATTATTGGAAATTGAAATATTTATGAAAACATTATTGTGGCCTGTAAGTAAATAGTGTGCACTTCTTTGTGTTATAATAATATTGCATTCTGTGTATAAAAGAAAAAAGACAAGGAGGTTGATAAAGGAAACAATTTTTTTTAAAAGGGATCAATCCAAGAAAAAGTTGGGAATCCCTGCATTAGAAGGAACTAGTTATGCAATCAAATTTCTTTCTTCACTGCCATTCCAGGTTTGCAAATATACAAAAATTGTAGTTCACAACACATTTGTCAGCAAAAATTCAAGATACATTGACTTACCAATATCCATAAATGGAGCTCCTGTGAGGTAGTAGTGTTCAATGTTATGAGGTACTTTCCGCCACAAAGGCAATTTGAAGGCTTCTATTGTTGTATTTAGCACATACAAATAAAGTGGTACATTTTGTTCAGCAAGCACCTTTGCCATGTGGTCACTAGGAGCTCGATAAATAAAATCCGACATTAGCTACAAGAACAAGAAACAATGATTATCCAAGTGCATATGTTACGTAATACAGAGAAAGGAAAACCAAAAGTCACCTGATTACCACCTGAGAAAAGAAAGAAAATTTGCTGATCTAATATTTTAACTGATGTGTTAAATGATAATCTTTTTGTCCAGTATAGATTAAAGTCATTTGAAATATTTGTTCATTACATACCTTTCATCCATCCATCCAACCATATAATGAAACTTCAAATTTTGTTTTGTTACTTTAATTGATTAGGTTCATCTGAGAAAGTGACAAATATTCTACATGTTAAAAATGTGTGAAGTTGCCTTACATCAATGTATCGCTCCCGGATGTAGAAGGTGTTGTTGGGATCTGGCCAGTAGGTGTACATGTACTTGATGGCCTGATAGACTCCCTCAGGATTCAGAGTGTAGTTGTAGCGTAGTACCAGTTCCCGCACCTTCTGGTCAAAGAAGGCTTGATCCACAGTGTAGTGTGGTGCAAGGCTGGCGTTGTTATCTGTAACAAATGTTATTCACAATGTAGGCAATGCATATGACATTTGATCTAAGAATGCATTTAGGATGTTTGAATGTCAGTTATCAACTTCTCACATGTCTTATGTATTGAAGTTAACAAATGACAGTAACTGTCAAATGTAAGAATATGTCAAAAATTGGCAGTTACAAATAAATACAACTATTATTTTCTGGTAACATGTTCAGTCCCCCCCCCCCATTTTGTTATTAACGTACTTATAATAATAATTAAAAAAAAAAGAGTTGGGGTATACAGTATATATATAAAAAAACACTATGAATTATCCGAATATTCAACGAACTGCCTTATGCTTCAAGGTTTTCTCAACTAACTTCTAAGTTTATAAGTTCCTCTGCATTGCTAACAGTGACAAACCAATAAAAGTAATCGTGTAGTCTGATGTGATGCTAATGTTATGCGGGTTGCTTTGATCAAAAGAATTTTCTCAAGAATTTCACAGCTGGTCAAAAAAGAAGAACACAAAACTGCTCTGCTCCTTTTTTAAGCTCATATTTGAAGAAAATCTTGCTGTCAACTGGTGAGAATTTTTCAAGTGGTCTGCAGGTAAATTTACGTGAAATGAAAAAGAAATTTACATTAAAAGTTTTGTTGGAGACCACTGCTTGACCAACACTAAAATATTTAACTTTGACTTATTTATTCACAACTGGAAAAGTAATAGTCTGAAACCATGTCAGGATGGTTGCTGGTTCCAAATTCACTGGTCAACAAGGTTTTCTTCAGAAGAAACCTTATTAGTGAATCTAGTGCATTTGTTCATGCTGCATTCACATATGTAGTTAGGGTATTCTGAGATGTTTAATACAGCATCAGAAAGCTTTTTTAAAACTTTTTTAAAAGAGTTTTCATCAACTAAATATGCTAAAAAAAATCTACCACTTTCTAGGCAAGTCAGAACAAATAGTATATCATTTAGTAACTGTTTTTATTAAAAATTATAAAATATTAAATGAAATATCACACTAAACTCCTGCCTGATGGAGAAAACCTGAAATAATATTTGAATTCAGCATGAAAAATACTTCTAGAATTTTCATTATCGTCCCGTGTCATTGGCAGACCCCCTTCCCCCCACCGAACCCAACATTTTTTTTTTTGTAAATTTTACTAAATTTATTCAAAATAATGTCCATGTATAGATCTCATCATGATAACAATTTAAAAAAATACTATTTTAAAAATGTTTGTGTGGACTGAACTGAAATTGCCCCCTAAGCGCCTCCCCCAAAATACTTTCCGGATCCGTCACTGGCCACGGCTCTCTTTTAGCCCCTTGCTTTTAGCCCTCACTCACAGATCATGAAGGCGGCCTCCTGCATGGTGACGCCGGACATGTACTCGAGCTGCGGGTTGAAGGCGCGGCGCCGCAGCAGGCGCTCAGGCATGTCGTTGAGCAGGCGCCAGTCCTCCTCGCGCCAGCCTTCATACCACGAGTCGAGCGGCACGGAGAAGTTGGCGTCGAGCACGGGCGCCCAGGGGAACAGCCCCACGCGCGGCACGTGCGCGTCCAGCTCGGCGTCGCCCAGCTCCACGAAGGAGCGCGCCTTGCGCACGCAGCTCACCTACGCACGCCGCCCCTCGAGGTTAACACCCAATACCCAGGTCCGTTTTGTAAAGTTTTTTTTCTCTTTTTTCTTCAATAATTGGACAATATTAGCTTTGGAAAAGAGATAAATTGAAGAATTTACAGTTCAACGGCTTGCTTTTCTTATACTACATTATTTTCGTTAAAAATGTATTTTACAAATACTGTAATTATATGTTTGTATTGTTTCGTTTTGGATGTTAATTTTATTAACGTTATTATTAATGAACTGTCACTGGGTTACGCCCACTCGCGGTTCCAATAAAGCTCACCAGCTTCCACGCGGAGTCGATGTCGCATCCGATGGCGCGCCCGAAGACGCGGCTGGTGTTCTGCGCGCGGTACTTGTCCTCGATGAGCGCCCAGTCGGCCAGCGCGGAGCCGCTCTGCGCGATGACGCGGCGCACCAAGTGGCGCGTGCGCGGCGCCACGGCCAGCAGCCCGGCCGACGCCGCGCCGGCGTCCGGCCCGAACAGCGTGATGGCGTCGGGGTCGCCGCCGAAGGCGCGCACGTTCTCGTGCACCCACTGCAGCGCCAGCGCTTGGTCCAGCAGCCCGTAGTTGCCCGGGGAGTTGTCGTCCGCCGTGCTGAAACGCGCGATAACCTCGTAAGGCCGCTTGCCCACGCCGCCACAGCAGAGCGCGTCGGTCAATCATCAGGGCCCTCCGGCGACGACGGACAAAGGGACCGAAGCAGGTACCTGCTGCGGTCCCTTTGTCCGTCATCGCCGGAGGGTCGGCGAAGAGCCCTGATGATTGACGTTCGCGCGCTTCTGTGGCGGCGTGGGCAAGCGGCCTTAGACTTTCGCACGACGCGTGGGACGTACTTCGCGCATGCGCATTGGAAACTTCCCTCTGCCCGCCCGGTGCCAGGTGGGTGGGTGAACCAATAGGGAGTTTTTGTACGCCATAGCGTCAGCACAATCGATCTTCTGCGCATGAGCAGATGCACTAAAATGGTGCGAAACTTGAACTGCGCGTGCGGAGATCGGTAGCGCTTTAACGTTCGAGGTGGCACAAACTCCCTATTTTCTTCCAGAATTTTAGGATTTGTTTCGTGTACGATAAACGTTACGTGATTACGATAAATGAAATCTGTTCCAGACTGGAGCAAAGAGTGTGTTGCTTATTATATTCCCATGATGCTTCATCATGTTGATGGACATCTGACGATCAAATAAGAATCAAGAGTCGCATTATGGGAGTTTAGCGTTCGCATGAGACTAACCCCATAGTTCTAAGCTACTTCCAGTACCATAGTTTTACAACGAATACGTTGTTTAAAATACTTAACTCTTCAAACGATATAGACCACGAGACTCTCCGATGTGTATCGTATTGTTTTATGATTCGCTGCGCCTAAACTCTCTATTATTTTCGGCCAAGCGCACGAGGGCTCACCTGAGGAAGCCCAGCGCGCCCAGGCGGTAGTTGATGGTGACGACCACCACCTCGTAGAAGGCGGCCAGCACGTGGCCCGGGAAGAGGTTGGAGGCGCCGTGGGTGAAGTCGCCGCCGTGGATGTAGAACATGACAGGGTACGGGCGCGCGTGCCCCGACGCCGTCTGAAACACCAACCCTCAGTGCGCGAGCAAGCGCAAGGCGACGCTGGATGCGATTGTCGATACGGTTATGATTAATATTTCCAGTGTCTAGTTGTTTTAATCTTTTTGAGAGGATAAAGCGTAAAGACGATAATTGATTGTTGAAGGTACACGTTTGATGTCCAGTAGATTCGAGATTATCCGAGGTAATTGGGATCGAGACTACTTCGGATTCGGAAAAAAATTACAGAAGACAATATAAATAAATGAAAACGTTTTTACTGCAGTGACAGACACATAAAGTTGAGATTGGCAATGACAAACGAAAAACAATATTTAACTGAGGAAATCTAATGAAAATCGAATTCTGGGAAGCCTCAATATTCCTAGAAGCGACGACGGCATCGCCCAATGCACAAGTCTTCTCGCTTCTACTACATTTACTTATCTATACACTTCTCAAATGATTCGTTTTTAAATTATTTTCTCGTTTTTTTCTGGTGGTTAGGATATTTTCTTGTTTTTGATTTTCTGATTGCATCGGATAACCCGGAGCCTCTGTAAACCAAGACTCGGATCATCGCAAATTTGCTGAACAAAAGGTGTTCGCGAATTATCATTATTATAATTCGCTATTGCACTACCCGATTATCGTTTCATGAGCACCAGCGTCACTCATTGCATTGTGAAGTTGTGGTACTCACCGAGGGCGAGTAGATGTTGAGGTAGAGGCAGTCCTCGTCCATGTCACGGATCCGCTTGGTGGCGCCAGTGTAGCGGCCGGGCTGCGGGCACGCCGGCCCGAAGTCTACCGCCTGCAGCACCTTCCAGCCGCGGTGCGGCCTCGGCGGCTGCAACAACCACGTCAGGCTCTTCACTTCCACTCGAGGAGGGTGGATGACAAACAAACGGACTACTTATATTTGCATTTCGTGAATTTTGAAATGGCGACTGGCTTCTGTAATGGGATTGGGGTTGTTTGCCTTTGTCTACCCCGTTGCAATCCCAAAGGGAAAACGTATAACGCAGTAGTCGTAAACCCTCGGGTTAATTAGGACGTAACCTTTACATTACTTAATGGTAATTATTTAGTATTAAAACATATTTTTATAATTTGGGGTTTATGATCAAAATGTACCTACAAATCGGTTATGACAAGGTTGAACTACTCAGAAAACAACATGAATTGGAATCCAGACCGGTTTAGGTAGTTCAAGGCATCAACTGATATCACTGCAGTGCCTGTGAGCGGGAGGACTTAGGGTTCGAGCCCCAACAGTGGCTGGATTTTCGACACTAGCTACATAGCTCGGCCGAGTCCAGGTGCAGTCTAAAGGAGAATTCTAGCGGCTGGCTGCTCTGATTGGTAGTTTTCCGTGGTTTCTCCGATCAATGCCAAGCGACTGCTGGAGCAGTAATCCTTACAGCTAGACCAGGGAGCGCTTGCCATTTTTCCTTTCTCTTCCTTGTAATTTCCTTACCCCTTACTTGCACACACGTACACTAACATGCGTTACACTACTACACATGTCGGAGACCAGTCGGAATATTAGAGCTTGTCCCGGCTGGGGCGGTGCCCCGATGGTGGGAGTTACCTGGGTGGGGGTTCTCTGGGAGTCACATGCCGACTTGTACGTCGCCGCTATCTCACCACCCAGCGGGGGAGGACACAATTACATCCCGTGGCAAAAACGTGAACAAAACTTACGGGACTTATGACCGTAGCCTTGACAGTCATTAGAATCCGGGTCCCACATTGACAGTGCCTTGAAGCTCGTTCGCGCGTTCAAGTCTCCGGAAATGGCACCAAAGCTCGCACCACACACTGCGACATCACCCAGTGTTTCCCCAAAACGTATTTCCAGCATTTTAAAGAAAGGCAACATTGTTAAAAAACGCTCAGCGTGTAAAAAATAAATAGGAAAATGTGATGGTTTGGTTTGAAAATCTGATCTTCGGTTTTACAATCATTTCCAAACTCAGACTAGTGCTCATAATTTCCCTTATTATTATTATTATTATTATTATTATTATTATTATTATTATTATTATTTCACTGATCATCGCCTTAAAGTAACATGGTGTTGACGAAGAAATCTGCATGCTCCAATGTAACTATGGGCATTCCAGGGATGAAATTGATATTCAGTAGGTGAATTGCTTAGCTTTCCTACCTCCAGGGCCACCAATGCTGCACAGGTCTCGGTGTAGGCTCAAACGAAGGATTGTCTCACAATAACTGTCTATACTTATCCAATTTTCAAATCCTCTGAAACTCATCTTCATATCTTCCCATTTCTCCACCTCCGTTACTTATTGTCCCTTACTAGTGTGATACGACACTACTTTGTTAGCCCCAAATTTCTTTTAAATGTTTATTAGGTCTTTGTTGACCTCTTGCGTTTTTCGATTCCAACGCTATTATGCTTCGAAGGCTTAGGGAGCGATTATTTTTGTTTCCTTCTCTTTCCTTTTATATTATTTTCTCCTCCCTTTTTATTTCACTTCTCTCCGATATTCATCTTCTTCCACAACAACTCGAAAACACATTAGCTGGCAAAAAGTTACCCTGTAACTGGTGATGTGGTAGCTGTTGGTACCCCAGCCTTTGAAAGATACCGAACAGATGCGCGGAAGAGCCTACGCTTCTGAGTACCTCTCAGGTAGTCAGTTGTTCTGCGAACCCGGCGGTGGTCACATTGTTGAAGGTGAGCAGAAATGTATTTGATTTTCTGGCGCCTGGGGTATAATCAATTCCCCATTACTTCACCCATTACGTAATTATTTATCACGTGTTTTTATATTTCACAAAACTGGATTCTTTGAGGGATATTATTAGGGGAAATGACCCAGGATTTGTGGAATGGGTCAAGGTAAATTTAGAAGCGGAAGAAAACTAATTCTGTGGTGACTAGAATAATGAAAAAAGAGAAATGTGTTTGCTGATCACGCCAAAAATACACCTGAACCCTTATTTCGACGATCAGCTAAAGCACATTAATTATGAAGGGAAATGCAAAATTAAATAAATAATAATCATACAACTAGTGGAGTTGAGAAAACAATAGATAATATCAACTCAAAAAGGCACGTTGCTTTCACGTATTAACCAACAATATTTTAAAACACGAAAAGCCAAGAAAAACAATAGTTAAACTTGCGCATTTAATTAACGCTGCATTTCGACTACTCTTCGATTGATGTTCAGAAAAAGAAAAATAGCTGAAGTAATGATTATTGCTAAATATGGGAAATCATTGGAAGTGATAACCTCCTACAATTCTTTCACGTCATTTCTAAGTTAGAAAAACTACATAAAAACGACTTAAGACTATAATTAAATAAAAACGACTAATTACAACACATCAGATTATTGGCGTTTGATAGACATCGTGGCTTAAAATTGAAGATGAAGTTTCTGCTCAGATCATTTAGCTTACTTTCAAAATTTTACATCAATGACAGACATGAAGACTTTTTTCTTCCTTTCTCTATGTTAATGCTGGTGGCACTTCTCCCCCACACGTCACAAACAGTTTTTACTGTTTTTGACGATACAATGTATTAATAAAAACTTTTCACATATCCATTTTTATTGGTATATATTATCGAAATGCAATTAAAAATGCTGCTGTCAACTTCTCTCACTTATATTTAACCAATTAAATGATGTGGTCCTCAAGATTCATTCAATTTCACTCTTTCATTCAATTCATTCAATTTCAATCTTTCTCCAATTCAGTCAATTTCAATCTTTCAATCTTGCACTTGAAAATGTATAACATTATACTTCTCTCTTATATACCACAACCAGTTTTTACTGTTAACAACGAAAAATAAATCAAAATGAGGGCTGGCCTTGAATGTGTCACATACTTATATACCCAAAATACACCTTTCTCTGTCAGTATACATCACCATTTATTACTTCTGCGCTGGTGAAACAACAACCACTAATAATAATAATAATAAATAATAATTTAATTATTATTATTATTATTATTATATTTATTATTTTATTATTATATTATTTAACATAGATGTGCTTGTGTGTGCCACAACTCAATTACGCGCTCTAATTTGCCTATCCGTGCCCTCTTCCAGAAAATGTTTTGCAATGTTTTCCCGCCATCAGAAGCAGAGCGCCTTCCTAATTTCTGGTTTGTCCGTCCGATGGAGTTGGTGGTGTTATAGTGCTATCAAGTGAAGACAGAGCATTAGAGTAAACTGTTGCTTCTAATAGGTCGTCTAGGAACGGTGCTGTCGCTCTCAAAGCAAAGAGTTTGTATCTTCGCAGAATTGTTAGATTCAAGCAGGCGCGTGAAATCCAGCTTCGTGGCGAAGTAATATTTCTCTTTCTCAATTTCCTCGAGTGTTCTTTGGCAAGGGCGCGTGCATTCGCAGCTGTTTCTGTGATCGGTTGTCCGCGAGCCCTGCAGAGGCGCTGCGAACTGAGAATTTCGTGAACGCCGTTCAGTGCGTTTTTGGAGAGTGATTGTGTGGTGTCGGAGTGAGTGCAGAATGTGCGTGTAAATGGTGCAGCGGGAGGATGGTGCAGTACCTCAGCGACGGTAAGTTCTCGGCTCTTGAGCTAAGCTATCCTCATTATGAAACAAGTTTGTAATGAGAATTAAAATTGATATTTATATGGAACTACCGGTATGCAACTCGGCGAATGTATCATAGTAATAAAAAATCTTTGATCGTTAAGGAAGAGCATTTCTGGAAAGTTATATTTTTATTCTTTAAAGGCGTCTTCCGTTTGCGATTATCACATCACAAGAATTCCACGAAAGGCCCTTACGAACGCAAGGCGAATTCTAGATCATTTCACAATATCTTTTGATACTTCTGTTGTCAGATAAAGCGTATCCGCATTGCTACCTGTGAGATTGTGAGTCATTCCGAACATGAAATAGTCGGGATAAGAAGAATTAATGATAAGAGAGGATTCTATTAACGTCTTATATCGACTTGTGTCGACTAATTAAAGTTCGTCATTAGTTTCAGTGTAAAACGTACACTATCGGACATCGTGATACGTTAATTGTAAATTATTAATGATGCCTTTAACATTGTTTCTATACATTTTAACATGTTGGTAGGGGTTTTGTTGCAAATGAATTAGATTAAATATTGAACATAGGACTTGTATTATCTGAACAATGCAATATTTTCATTTTAACTATTTATGCTTGAGGAGGAGCTACCTTCTATTCGACAGCGCCCCGGGTCTGCTGTACGTACCCGCTGCCTGTCGGCAATTGTTGAACATTTTTTCTCAAAACCTACTCATTTCACATTCATTCTGAGTCCACGATTCTGGACTTCTGTTCATTTTGAGTTTACTGTTGTTACTACTATTTTCATCTAAATATTTACAATTCCTGCCTAGAACGCCGAGAACCAAAAGCGTGCGCAACCTAAAACAAAAGGGGGCGGGTAATTACATTTGTGGGTCCTTTTTTCATTATTTTTTTTAAATTATGGCTTACTATTTTACTAGTAAATAAATACTCGTTAATCATACTACAAGTATAATTAAGTTAAAAGTTTATGGATTCTACAATTAGTAAATGCAATTGATTGTGTGTTGAGCCAATTGTAGGGTTCCCAGATGGCTTGGTAAGCCTCTCCTCCAAATCTCATATACGTACTGTGAATTCTCCAAATGTTGTAAAAGTATTCCCCAAATTGTCGGGTTAAAACGGGGTAATTAGGGATTTAACATATCTACGGAAATATTTTCATTGCGTAAGGCTACGGGGGACACTTTTAAAATTTTCAAAGGAGCAACGGCCCCCCTGTGCGGACGCCTATGCCAACAAACATGTATGAAAGTAGGATCTCTGGTTATGGAAACAGCACAGTCTTGAACAAAGTTTAGCAGTTGAATTTAACTATTCAAGTGTCATACTAGAGTTCAGGTACGATAAGAGAATGAACAGGAGGATGTCCGGCAATCTCTGAATGTATGACAAAACATCGACCCAAAAGCACATGGCCAGAGGAGTCACGGATTGCTTTCCGCTCTGAATTTCGAGGTGAACCAACCGAGTACACGATGTGCCGGGTCTTCGCGCGTTTGTTGAAGTAGAGGACGAGGCCACACTAGCGATTGCTTATAACACGTCGTTATCGAAATGAAATCTGGCTCTTTTAATGCGGATATTTTCTTAAGCAAATCGAATCGCAATGCCAAATAGCATGTTGCAAATGCAATTGCATTGCATCACCTATATTTCGCTTCGTTAATCGCGAACTGGCTACGCGGCAGGGAAAAGTCGGACGGCGTCGGCGGCAGAGGCGAAGGCCGCGAAGAGGATGGCCTTGGCGCTGTTTACGTTGGTGCAGAAATAAGAAAACGACGACGGTGCAACACTTCCTGCATCCCCCTTGACGCCACACCTTTCTCCCTTCCACCTGGCCACTCGCTATCTTGCCCACCTATTCGCCTTCCCATTCCCCCTCGTCCATCTTCCTTCTCCCTCATTCTGCACTCCCTTTCATGACGTCGCCTCACACCTTTCTCTCTCACCCCTCCAGTCACCGTCGCGGGCGGCGGGCGGCGATCGTTTGTGCCCTGAGAGAGTTCTCGACTCTGAAGAATGAAACTAACAGCGGACGTTCATGGATAGATAACCTTGTGCAGGTGCGATAGTTGCAGTTGCATAGGGTGTTGTTTACGGCATTGCTTATCAGATGAAGCCCGTGTGATGACCTCAGAAAGCTCGCTGGCTGACAACACCTGATATCCACTGCCTCTTGTGAATGGAGGCTAACAACAGGAAAGTTCTGCAACTCTAACATTATTGTGAAGACTACAATTTAAGTCTAGTAAACATCGCATTTTAGTCATTTAGATGACGGAATACTAGAAAATAACTTAGAATTCTTTTTTCGGTAGTCCACAAGGTGTCATTCCACAACACTCTATCTGGCGCGAGTAATTCGAACACTTCTACGAAACCTTCATTATGTTGTTACAGAGTGCTACCTGCAGCACTGAGATTTAACTGTACGGATTCAGTATGGAAAAATGAAATATGGGCGTTTTTTCTTTTGTACAAAAAGCCACCAGTGTGGTGGTCTTGTTTTTTGCAAATGGTATGGAAGAAAATTATAATTTTGTATTTTTGGATGCTTCAACTTCTACGATCATTAGTGCCTTAAGTGAAATACATATAATGCCACGGGAGATGGTGTTCTTATCCCGTGAGAACGAGAGACTGGCGCCGATCTGCACGTCGGCTTGCGGCTCCAGGTATCTCCCCCAGCGGGGCACCGTCTCAACAGAGACAAGTTCTAAGCAGCCGACTGCTCTCCTGACAAATGAGGTGGTGTAGTGCATGCAATTGAGCGTGTAAGGGGAAGGGGGACGAGGATGAGGAAAGAACGATCACCCGCGGTTCATGTCCCCTTTGTTAAGTACTACTTAACTAAACATTCGCCACGAAACCAATAAAAACTACCAATCAGAGAAGCCGGCTGCTAGAATTCTCCTGCAGCCTGCGATTGATTTGGATGTATTTATGTACCTAGTATGGAAAATACGACCCCGCGCCTCTCGCCTCCCCCCGCATACTTCGATTAAAACATGAAGTCCGTTTACACTTCGTCAGTTGTGTCGGTCATCCGTCAGCTGTCATCCAAACGGGAGCTTGAACGTCACTCTTCTGACATTCTAAATGTGAAGTGTTTTAATAATAATAATAATAATAATAATAATAATAATAATAATAATAATAATAATGTCTTTATGAATGGCGAGGCTCAGGCCACAGGGGCCTGCTCTTCCGCCTAACCACTTTAATGGAAGTACAGTTGCTCGCGGTGCGCACTCACCCTGAGGCGGCCGTCGCCGGTGGGCGGCAGCGCATAGGGGATGCCGAGGAAGACGCTGACGTTGGCCGTCTCGCGCTCCACGGGCGACACGCCGGGCCGGTAGCCCGAGCGCGGGTCGGGGTCGTCGTAGAGGTAGACGCGGAAGCCCTGCACCTCGCCGTAGGCCGTGCGCACCGACACGTCGCGCGGCAGCAGCTTGGAGTTGGGCCGCTCGCGCCCCTGCAGGTCCGGCCGCCAGCCCGCCAGCACGCCCGGCAGCGGCGGCGAGTTGGGGTTGCCCTGCGCACACAAGCAGGCAAACATTGCAGGCTGGGCTGACAGTGCTCTTGGCCTCTGCTCTGGAAAAGACATTTGAAACAGTGGAACATAAAGCGAAGAAGCCGGACCGGATGCCCGAGATCGTCGAGACAGAAGTGCCGTAGCGATTTCGGACCGAAGGATTCCGCCTCGGGCACGGTTGTATTTGTGTTCGTCCTTTCACCCCCTATCATCAACATATCATATCGTCTTCACATTTACTATACCGTTAAATGCAATAGTGTTCGCTAATGACCTACATATTGATACGACTTAACATAACAAAACAAGAATCTGGGCGGACTAGAATCTGGGCAGAATATCTGGCTGATGCTGAAATCTGTATTAAACATTTGCGAATACCCTGACTACGTTCTGCACCAAAGTAGCTTGATTAATTTCTCGTCCATAAATTTAATATCAAAACATGTATCAGTTGAGAGTTTAAACATAGAAATCTGTGATTAAAATACATCTATCTGAACAAAAATCAAAACTGTCAGTATTTCTTTTTAATAAAACACACTGAAGTAAAAAAATATAAATAAGTTATTTTCACGTAAAATTCTACAGCATATTTAAAAGATACCGCAGCATATTTCAACGCCTGAAATATATCTTAGAACTTGAATATTCTTTCCCAATGAACACTGTAGGGTCATACGGCGGGAAAAGAACTTCCAGCAGACGGCGATAGTAATGCCAGAGACCCTCAAAGATATCTGCGCTCCAACTAGTACTGGAGTATAGGAGGTCGAATATTTTATAAATTTATCTCGAGTCTCTCTACGTTGATGCATCAAACGCCGGGAGGTCTCGCACGCACGCACGCACAGGTCGGGGCCTCGTGTGTTTGCAAAATGCCGCACCGGAGGCGCCGCGCCACGCGACGCGTCGCGGTCGGCCGGCCCGGCGGAATGGCGAGTACGATCGCAGGCGCAAAAACGCCCCCGCGCGCCCTCGCCCCCTATTTCCTGTAGGCCTAAAAGCCCAAACTATTTCCAACGGCGAATTTTACGTAATGCATTTTACAACAACGCATTTTAGACACAATATTTCAGCTATGGACCAGAAAATGAATTTTTCATTTTTCATTTGTACATCACTGAATTTTTGAAAATAACTAGATATTTTTGCAATTTCGTATAATAAACCTTGAATTTTCTGTGGCTCGTTGATGTCATTGTTATTGTTGTTGGGGCGGGGGTAGCGTTAGCGTTAAATTGTTTGCTATTACCATTCTCTGCCGCGGCTGCCCTCGTTTGGATTATACGAGTACGAGGAACCATTACTAAGATGAAAATACTAGTTTGATGAGTAGATACTTCCCCAAATTTTTTCAACAAACTGTTCTTGAAACTAAATAATTTTAACACCAAAAGCTAATTGAACAATGTTCAAACTCGCAAACCTTTCTACAAGTGATGTAAAAATTATAAGAATATGGACCACCTAATCTTTGAATGTAGTACTATCCTGTAACAAGAGAGAAGAATCTTAAAAATTGAAGTAAAATAATTGGAAAGTGGCCACCGTCAGAAGAAAATTAATTAAAAAAGTATAAAAGACATCAATTACGTAATTATCAATTACTGCAAATGAAATATTGAAATAAGCTATGACATGTGGGATTTACTTAAATGAATAAAAATATCTACTTTACCAGGAAATACGGGTTATCCACGACGTTTGTAACACTTCAAAAAGTCTAATTCCTAAACATCACGAAACAATATGATTGTAGTTAAAGAGCAAATATGTAATTAGATACAAATCCACTGATTATCACTATCGAAATATCACAGAGTACTTTCAGTTTTCACAAGCTCTTCTGTGTAATGTTGCATCCCATTTTGTTGGCTTCCGTTATGTTTCAGGGCGATTTCCTGAGCGACCTTTTTTCATCTCCTCGTGATTCGGACATTGCCAATTGTTGAGTAATACACATTCAAATTTTAAAAGGGAAAAATAAAAATTAATGGAAGAAAACAAGAACACGAAAATTTATAAAATATTACGATTTCATTCGGCTACAGACAAGAAAAAACTGGGTTCCTCTCTTTAAAACTTCTAAACTCAATAACTCTCGTGACAATTCAGCATAAAACAGACACGCAACGGAAGGCTAATCACGAGCGACAGGAATGAACATGGTGCTATGATTAGTTCCATGGGAATGAAGGTTTACTGCATTACGCTTATTTGTCTCCAATTTGTCAGTGGCAAAATCAACAAGTCTCGAAATGTAAACATGTTCTGATTGTCAACTTCTAAGCAAAATTAATTAGATCGCTGGTGAGGTAGATACCTTT